GGGGGGGGATACGATGCGCGTTCATTTTGACCAGGATATACGAACGTTCATTCCCTCCGGCATTGAATGAGGGTAAAATTGGTTTTAAGACTACATTGATCCGGTTGGTTCAAATTACCGTGGAGGAATAAATGCGCTAACGATAACGACCTGAGGGGAAAAGGGTTGAGACAAAGGTATGCACAGAGGCGGACAGTGAGGCAGTCGGATAATAAGAACATTTTTCAAAGCTTTATTTGTGATTGCTCTTTCTCGTTTTCTTTTGTGTGCTTTGTGCCGAGTTATTGTTTGGCGGGTTGTTGCTGTCTTTTCCTTTTCACGTTTTTCTTTCTTAGAATTGGCAACGTCTTCTATATTTGGCGGGTGGTTGGAGGGCGCTACTGGGAGGTCCTATTTGTTTTATTTCCCCTCTGTTGCTTGTGTCTTATCTGTCCTGCTTCTTCCTTGCACCATACGACCGGTAGTGTGTCGACGTGCTTCTTTTTACTCAAACTCAAACTTCTATAAATTTGTTCTAGCCCCTGTTTCTCTAAGCTGTAAGTGTAGGTGGTTGGCGGGTGCTCTGGTGTGGTTTGCTTCTTCTTGCCTATCAAACATCTATCGTCCTTATCTCCCTTTCTTCTTTTTTTATGTTTGTTACTCTCTTGTAACGCCTCTAATCTTCTCTTCTGGCGCTCATATTTATTATGACCTTATGCAGTTGCGAGCGCCGTAAAACCTCTACTAAAACCCAAACTAAGCTGTAAGTGGCTGCAATTGTGTGGACTCATCAGTCAAGAACAGCTAGACATCAGCTACAGCAACAAGGCATTTTTTACTTATTCTCCGACTGAACGCGCTTTTTGAGAAGGGAGTGTATACAGACCCGGTAACCGGGAACAAAGTCACAAAGTATACAGACCCGATAGGGGAACTCTTTTGTAATTTCGGAGTTTCAGCGCCCTCTTGGCTCAGGGTAGACCTAGGTTCTTCTAGATCTATGGTCTAGGTCTAGATCTAGGCAGACATAAATCTTTCATCTAGTTTCGCGGCTAACCTAGATCTAAATGAAGATTGCGGATTGTCGTTTCGATAAACGGTGGTTTTTTCCTCCGTT